AACTATATTCCTATCATCTGCAGAATGTAAGTTTTTTTTTGTTTGTTTGTTTTTTGTTTTGTACTGGGGCTCGAACTCAGGACCTTATGCTTGTGAGGCAGACAGTGGAAGCACTCAGATAAATCCCGGGCCCCACAGAATGTCAGCTTACAAGGAAGTCTGGAAATGATTATCCCCACTTGGCCAGCAGTTAACCTGGGGTTCAAGGACTTGCCTGAAGCCATACACAACTACCCTGCCACCTCAGTATACATGGGAGGTTTAGAAAGTCCAATTATTTGTTTTTTTATATGGATTTAAAAAGGGAGGCAGGAATGAGACTATGAAACTACTGTAGGACTCAGATCACATGGGGTAGTTCTACCGCAGAAGGAAGACTGCAATTTGAACTGTTCTATAACATAGGTTAAAACATAAGTAATGGAGGGGCTGGGTCATAAAGACACTCCTGATCTGAGGAACTGAGGACAGTCTTGAATCATGGCTGAGGACAGTCTTGAATTGTGCCAGAAAAGCAAGGATTTAGGGGAGCCAGACAGTTTTCAAGGTAAATAATACACATCCAGTCCTACAATCTCAGTGCAGTTATCAATGTTTCTGGATGCGGGAGTTCTAGAAAATCTGAGCTTCACAGCATAACCAAACATGGAACACTGTGGGCAGGAGGATTGGGACAGCTGAGTAGAAGGAGACCTGCTATCTAGAACCATGCTTTGTGTGGTTTTGGATGATTAAATTTCCAAAATTCAGCCACATATGGTGGTAAATGGGATAGAAAATGATAGGTAATTAAATAACCTATCTAGTCCAAATCATCACATGACAGAATGTGTTGCAGCTTATGAATGAGTAGCAGGGCAGGGCAGAATAAAGGCTATGAAATATAAAGCTGGGCCATCCTACTGTTAAGGAGGATCAGGGGAAAGGCAGGAGGGCCAAGAGAGGAGGCAGGTGAAAGGCTCAGGGTGTAAGAATTAGCTCTTAGGTTCTTTTGTACCCCTTGCACAACGGCAATTGCAAGGAAAGTAAAGGGCTAAACCAGCCTGGATTTTTGAGTGGGAGTACAGAGATGCAGTTAAGAACAGTGAGCTCTTCACAGCACCACCAGCACCTCCTCCTCTTTACCTATCCCCTTTTATCTCTAAGGTCTCAAGTGCTTTACTAGCCAGCTGGGAGCCCCAAGGCTTAAGACCCAGGAAAGTAGAAACAGGGCTCTGGTAGTGGGAAGCAAAAGTAAATGAAGGATTAAAAATGACAGAAGAGAAGGGCAAGTAGTGATGAGTCTATCCAACAGGAAAAAGATGCATTCTTGATCAAACCAGAACATGGAAGAGGAATAGGACCAGAAGCTCCATTTCTGACTTCTTTCACTACCTCTGTAATATGATATTCTTTCTCATGAGTTGGTGACAGTGAGAGCATAGGATAATTTTTGTAAGTAAAGCACCTCCTTTCTTAAACTGCCTTTCCATACTCTGAATAAGTCTAGAGAAAGCCTCAGTTTGAGGCCAATTTTTCTTTAACACCTCTCTAGTATTTCCTAATCTTCCCCACCCATTTTTCTTAAAAACAGGCTTCAGTTTTCGAACCTGGTAGATTACTGTGGTCAACTGGAATTCAGTCACAACGTTTTATTTTAATAGTATTAATTTCTTTTGAGGGAAAATGATCTGGTTTTCAACTTTTACTAGCTATCGTTTTCTTTAAAATAAAATTTGAAAGAAGAATTTATTGTATGGAAACTGAAACTAATATCAAACAGAATTCAGCACTAATGTAAATGTCAAGAATACAACAAAATGGTATGGGAAAACAAGATTCAGTTTTGGAGTCAGGAATCTTCCATGGACCCTGAGTGGGATTTGGGATCATAATAGTTTCATCTTCAGTTTTATTAATTTATGTATCTGTTGGCCAGTACTGAGCTTGAGATGGCCAAATTTTTCACCTGTTAAATTACTAAAGTTCTAGTCAGAAGCAGAGGTATTTGTGCCAATTTAACAGACAGAGGAGCTCAGAAATATTAAAAGGATGTATGAGGACCCTCATCTCTAATGTGGCTCTTGGATCCTAACTACTGGGACTACATTATTTCTAAGGAAACTTTCAATTCTAAAATGCTGTGCTAAGCATTCAGTCTCAGGCCAGTAAAGCAATGTGATCTGATAGGGAAGAACAGTCATAGATTATCACATTAAAATCTCATTTTCCTTATCTCTACCCCATCGAACAAGTAGGTAGCTTAGAGTGGATATACTTGAAATAGAGGTCAGATGCCAAACATAACCGTTTCCTTTATCACCTAAATCCTTCTTTCTTAAGATTTCCTCATCAAAAGTTTTACTAGGCTTTTATGAAGGTCAAGGGCTTCTTTTGGCCTGGAGTATCAACCAGTTGGCCAGCTCAGAGTTTCTTCTCTATCTATAGAACCTCCCCCACCCCTCCATCAGCAATTCACTGCATACCAGAAACAACAATGGAGGTTCAGGAAGGAGCTTGAGAGACTGACAGATGGGTTCAAATTTTAACTCTACTGGGAGCCTCCATTTTATTTAAATTTTCATATTCACAGAGCACAATGACTCAGTGAGGTAGGTTCAGTGTCAGGGCATCAGCTGTTAAGTTTGAACTTCTGTGTGAATCAGAAAAGAATTGGTTTCTTTCCCCAAACCAAATCACACCTGCTGTAGGCCCATAATGCACAAATAGAGATACCTGTCCTCAGGACCGATGCAATTTCCCAGCCTAGCAGCCTGGCAAGCTGAGCAAGGAGAGGACTCTAGTACCGTCTGCCCCTGCGCTGGTTCCTCTTTTTCCTTCCTTTGTTTCTTTTTATTTTTTTCTTTTCGGTTTTTAAAGTGCCTAATCTATATAGTGACCCTGACAGTTGGCACCATTTCACAGCCAGGGAAGATAAATATTTGTGTTCTAAAAAGATCCGTATGACTTTTGTAGAAAAACAGTTTGGGGGAAGATGAGGTTGGAAGCAGGGAGTTGTGAGAAATGTATGGTAGCTGTGCAAGTGAGAGGCGATGTCTGGGGACATCAGATGAAGGAATGCATCAGGGACAGTGAGAAGTGGACCAATTGCAGGGATACTAAGGGGACAAAGGTGACAGATTGGAAGGCTACTACAAAGACGCAAGATGATGATGGCATTAACACTATTGATTGAGGGTATAGATGAGGCGGGATCAGAGAATATGGTGTGTTTAAATATAAATTATTATAAGACATATTGCTATTAATTCCTCTCAAACTATTTCTCCTTGCTTCTGACACACTTATTCTATTGTTCTTGTCACTTTCCGAAGCAGTTTTGAAAGTCCATTTTGTGTCTTATTCTGTTGTGGCTACTTTGATGTTCTGACTTGATTGAAAATATTTACATTTTGACCTTGGCAGAAGAGCCAGAAGTGGCACAGGGCCAAATTTGGTGTGGATGAAGACACATCATAATATTTTTACAAGACTGCCTTTCCATTGAATGCAACTCAGCAGCAGCATTCATGGTATTTTTGATAACACTTTGTAAAGATGCAAATAGAAGACTTTCAGAAAGTGACAAGAATGAAGGAACTGTGTTCAAAGTGAGTGGGGGAACATTGTGAGGGAGACTACAGGAAGATGTGTCTTTTACTGCAATCATTTTGAAAAAAATTAAACATCACCATATTTTCTGATCACTCTCTGTATGTACCAGACAGCAAATTATTTCTATAAGTTCTTTGAGCCAGAAAAATTGACTACATTTCATTCTTGCATGGTTGCTCTGAAGATCAGAGATAATATAAACAGCCCCTTCACCAATGATAAATACTGGTATAATAGTTTAAATTCCTCCATTATCTATGTAGCCCAAGTTTGTGGGCATGGGCACTGTTAGAGGAGATAGGGGAACATAATTAAGATAGCAGCTTCATCACTTACTGGGCATCAGATTGTATTTCTCCTATAACTTCTGAAGGCTGTATATACTCAATCTCATCTCATGGTCTGGGGTAGTGATCTTGGTATCAGTGTTTTAAAAAGCTCTCCAAATAGCCAAAGTTGAGAAGCACTGACTTAAAAGAAGAATCTTTGGAATCAGACAAATCTAGGTGAAATCATAGCTTGCCTTTTACAGTGTGAGTCCTTTTGTCTAAGCCTCACATTTCCTATTTGTAGAAGAAAACCTGAAATATTGCCCCAGCCCTTTTAGGTTGTGTGAAGATTAAATGAGGTGTTGTATGCAAAGCAGGAAATAGTGAGGACCCCAGCACAGATAACTCTTTAACATGAAGATAGGAGCAAAGGTGGCTTTTAATGATGTCGGCAGCTCAGTGAGTAACTCCTGTCAGTCTCAAAATCCCTGAATAGAAGTTTATGGTTTATTATATACCTTTTTTTTTTTTTTTTTTAATCTATGATACTTAATTCTATTGGGGCTTCCCTGGGAATATAGCAAGCAGGATTTACACAGAGCTGAGCAGTGGAAGAGGGAGAGCAGAGTGCTGGCAGGACTTTCGGCATCCATCATGCTCCTTTGGTGACAGATTACAGAAGTTGTCATGGCTACTCAGGTACATTCTACAAAGAGCCTAGTAGGGCCAGGGATTTAGCTCAGTGGTTCCACCACCTGCCTCACAAGCGCAAAATCCCAAGTTAAATTCCTAGTACTAAAAAATAAAAAAGAGCATAGTTACCTAGTTAACCCACAGTTGCCTAATAACAGTTAAGTCATAGTTGCCTAATAATAGTTAACTCATGTCTGTTCAATTCCACACGGAAGGGTGGTCTTCTCTCTCATATGTACTCAGATACCTCTGGGGACACCTCTTTTCATTCCCAGCTTAGCACGGTGGATGGCCCCTCATGTGGATACAATAATGTGACTGTCATGACCATGGGACCAGGAAGTAAAGGGACCTAAGAGGGTCATAGGGCAGCCCCAGAGCTGAGGGCTTTACATCTGTCACCTTGTGTAGTTCTTGCCTAAAGTACACTTGTTTCTTTCATAGATGCCGAACCCAGACCCAGCGAGGAATAAACTTTCCACAGAAGATTATTAATCTTCCCACAAAGTGAAAAAGATGGGATTTGAGTCTTGTTTTGTGTCTTTCTGGTACACATTCCAAAATGAGCTCAGGTTATGGCTTATTATTCTTGAGAATGGCTTTTTACCTAAGTGATGTGACCAGGGAGAAGAACCCTTATCTGTCCTGCTTTGAACTGCAGGACTGAGACATGCGGAGAAGGAAAGGGGGCAGATGGCGGGACCCTCTCAGACAGGAGGTCTGTGTGCTGGTGGGCAAGGGAGGGACATGTAGGCAGCAAAGATGACGGGAGGCCAGGAAAAGAAGGGGAAAGAGACGAGAGAGATGCTGATGCCTGGGCTGAACAGAAAATTACATATCTAGTATATGGCCAGGCTACTGAACTAGACAACAGGTACTAGAAGGTAAATATTCTCACCTTTCTTACAGAAGAAAAATCATTCTATCTTTTCCTTCTTTCAGAGCTGTCCCCTGTCCCTAAGATAGGGACAGGAGTCCACCATTTTCTATATGATCCCATGGTTAGCCTATCTGTGCAACCTATGCTTTTCTGGTATTATAGATAGATGAGCTAGGTAAAAACACTATAGGCAGTCAGATAGGGCTAAGTCCGCTAGAGGGCCAGAACAGAGGTGAAATATACCACAGCTGTATGTCGGCTGAAAATCAGGCCTCAAGATGGAGACAAGATGACCAGACCCACATACTACTTCTTCAAAGAGCTGGGCTTAGTGAAGTATAGATAGGCATTGACCACCCTGGATGTGACCAGAGACCTCTGGACCCACCGCCTCCTAAGAGAACCATTATTCTTTCCATCCATGCTTACTATGTGACTTGCTTCTGAATTGGACCACCATTACCTAAGTGACCGTACTTGTAACCTTATTGGATGTTCATGGCTGTGGCCCATGTTGTACCCACATGGGTTTCACCCTACAAAACTTCTCTGTAACGTACGTACCCAACTTGGGACCCCTCCTGCCCCTCAGGAGCTTTCCTATCAATAAATTTCTTCCTACTTTTAACCTCCATTGTTCCTAGAACTTATTCTTGGATTTCTAGAGAACAAGAACTCGGCGTATCATAAAGTTAACAGGTTGGGAGATATATTTCATATTTCATATTTTCCCATGGCACTGGGACTTGTTCCTCTATCCACACATTTATGGGGACAGCCATGTTCCTATGATATCAACTCTGGTCTTTGGAGGATTCTGAGGGTTATCCATTAGAGCAAAATAGCCTTTCTGGTCCGGGAGATCCTGGTTTTTCCTTTTCATGTGTGTTTGCTTGTACCAAAATAGGGAGTTTGCTACTGGTCAGGCAAATGCTACTTGAACAATGTGCTGGGCCCAAAGACATCTCAAGCCACTACCTGAGAATGCCAATTTCTCATAAAGAATTACAAATCAACGCTAGCAGCTTCCCTGCTAAGTAAAAAAATTACATAATTCTTCTGCACTGCTGCATTAGGAAGTTTTTTTTTTTTTTTTTTTTTTTTTT